CACCGGCGGGGGGATCAACAATACATATGTTTCGAGAGCGAGAGTTCAACGACAACAACAATCATTTTAAATTTGTTCGTTCCTATCGGATTTCACAAACCGTCGGCACCCGCCGTCTTCGTCTTCGATCGTACCCCCTCTTGGGGGTCATTTTTTCCTCACCTGCCGCCTGCCGCGCGATTAGTTGGCGCAGTCCCAGAAACAGGGGAAGGAGGGGAGCATTGAAGAGACAAAGAGGAGGGAGAAGGATGGAACGCGAGAGGATCTTGCAGGAGGATGGCTAGGAGCAGCACCACAAGCGGCAGAACCAGCCAGGCGTGTCGGGCGGGCGGGCCCTGACGGGCAGTACGGGCGGGCGGGCCCAGGCGGCCAGGTCGAGCGGGCTGGTCGCTGAAGCGTCAGCCCATCATGAAGAAGGTTTCGAGCGATAGCGCGATTCCCACGCAAATCGTTTGGAATCTGAAAGCGAGGGCGCGACTTGTGAGTCTTGCGGGCACGGCGCCGCAATACGTTGTGAGGAAGTGCCGCGCGACGACGCGGTTCCTGCATGCATTCTGAGGAAGTCCCGCGCGAGAGCGCGAATTTGAAATAATATGTGAGGAAATATCCGGCCGGAGCCGCTGTTGTTTTAAATCGGGGGCTAGGGGCGCAGTTGAGTGACCATGCACTGTCCTCGTTAAAAAAAAGGCGCCAGCCCCGGGAGGAGCATTTTAAGTGAAACAATGGTCACCGGGGGATGAACAATAATTAATATGTAGGGGTTAAAATTCAACAACAACAACAACAACAACAACAACAACAACAACAACAACAACAACAACAACAATGATTCCAAGACTGTTCGCTCCTACTGGCTCGCGTGTCGTTCACTATGCATATCCCAAACCCTGGATACCCGTCCTCTTCGTCTTCGATCGTACCCCCTTTTGGGGGGTTCTATTTCTCACCGGGCGCGTCTGAGGCGGGAGCCGTTGTTGTTATAGCCGAGGGCCCAGGCGCACAGTTTGGCCTGGATGATTTTCCCTGTCAAACAAACAGGATGCGAGCGTCGAGGGGCGCACATTGACTGAGAAAAAACAATGCGCACCGGTGGGGGGGACCAACAGAAATCAGTCTTCAGGAATGAAATGACAACATCAGCTGACGTGCGAGAGAGAATCGGAAGGAGGGGGAGGCGGCCCGGGAGGAGGGAGGAGCAGGAAGGTAAGAGTGCGAACGTTCGAAGAAATCTTAGGCGAAAGTGCCATTCCACAAGGAAGTCTCGGGCGGCAGCCCACGACGGGCGGGCGATCCTCTGACGGGTGGGTCGGGCGGGTGGGACATTCAAGCGGGATGCCTGAGTAGGGCGAGGGCGCGATTCCTAAGTAAAGTTTGACGGCGTCCTTGGCGCGAGCGTGGTGCCTGAGCGTGGATAGCGCGATTTCTGAATAAATTGCGAAAGAGTCACAGCGAGAGCGCAATTCCTGAAAAGGGGATGTCTGGCGGGAGCGGGGGGTTATATTAAAGCGCAAGGAAATCTTAAGCGGGAGCGCCGTTTTTGAGTAGATTGTAAGGAAGCCTCAGACGGGAGGGGGGGTCCCGACTAAATTGCGAGGAAGTCGCAGGCGGGAGCGCCGATCTTGAGTAACTTGGGAGGGAGTCTCAGGCGGGAGCGGGGGTCCTGAGTAAAGTTGGAAGAAGTCTCAGGCGGGAGCCGTTGTTGTTGTTGTTGTAGTCCGGGGGAGCAACGACGCAGTTTGACCCGGACTACATTGTGAGGAAGTCTCAAGCGGGAGCGCCGTTCCTGAGCAAATTGGGAGGAAGTCCCAGACGGGAGGGGGGGAGTCCTGAGCAAATTCGGAGGAAGTCTCAGGCGGGAGCCGTTGTTGTTGTAGTTTGGGGGGCCAGGGGCACAGTTTGACCACCAAGACTTTCCTTGTCAAAAACAGGGTGCGAGCGTCGAAGGGCACACTTTGATTGTGAAAAACAATATGCACCGGTGAGGGGGGATCAGCAATAATTGTTTTTTTCAGAAATTAGATTTCAACAACAACAACAAGAACAACAACAACAACAACAACAACAACAATTACTTTGAGATTGTTCGCTCCTAATTGCTCGCGTGCCATTCAACACGTGTATCCCAAACCCTCGGTGCCCGCCTTCTTCGTCGTCGATCGTACATCCTCTTAGGGGCGTGTCGCCCTTACCGTGAACGCGCATGTAGCGCAGCCCTCAGAACAGGAGAAGACAGCACGGGTGGAAGGGGGATGGAGACGAGTGGAGCACGAGAGGGAGAGCAGCAGAAGGGGAACAGTTTCAGAAAACACGTGGCAGAACGAGATGGGCAGGTTGGGCGGGCAAACCCTAGCGGGCGGGCTTGGAAGGCGGGCCCAGGCGGCCAGGTCGAGCAGGCGGGCTGCTGAAACGTGAGTCCTGCATTAATCGCGAGGAAGGTTCAAGCGATACGGCGATTCCCAAGTAACGTTGAAAAAAGCCAGCGCGAGAGCGTGATTCCTGAGAGCCGAATGCGCGGCGCCTGAAGAAATCGTGAGGGAATCCCACGCGACAGCGCGGAGTCCCGCGCGGGAGCGCGATTTGGGAATCTATTGTGAAGAAGTAGGAAGTATCAGGCGGGAGCCGTTGTTGTTGTAGTTCGGGGGCCAGAGGGTCACTTTGACCTCAAATATTTTCCCTGTTAGAAAACATGGTGCGAGCCCGGGGAGGGGCACTTCAACTGTAAACATTGAATGTGCGCGGAAGGGGGGATCTACAGTTTTCAAAAATGAGAATACAACAATCACAACCACAAGAACAGCACCAACAACAGCAAACACATCAACAACCATGGCAACATTGATAAAGCAGTGAATCTAAGACTGTTCGTTCTTATCCGCTCGCGTGCCATCCAACACGTATATTCCAAACCTTCGATGCCCACCCTCTTCGTCTTCGATCGTACCCCCAGTAAGGGTATATCTTTATTGGCTGCAACTTGTATTTCGTGCAGCACCTAAGGCAAGGAAAGAGAAAACGGATGGAAGGGGGAAGGAAGGACACTGGGAAAGGTAGGAGGATGGAGCACGAAAGGAAGTAGCAGGAGGGGGGTTGGAACGGACAACACGTGGCAGGACCAGACGGGTATTTCGGGCGGGTAGACCCTACCGGGCGGGCTGGGAAGGCGGGCCCAAGCGGCCAGGTCGAGCAGGCGGGTTGTTGAAACGTGCGTCTTGCATGAATCGCCAGGAAGTGTCGAGCGAATGCGCGGCTCCTGAATAAAACGTCCGAAATCCGCAGCGACAGTGTGATTCCTGAGTGTCGCAACGCAGGGGGACGGAGGACGGTAGGGGGAGGGAGAAACATGGAGCACGAGAGAGAGATTAGCAGGACGCGGGGACCAAGAGCAGAAAACACGTGGCAGAATCATACCGAAAATCACGGGATGGCGCGATCGATCGAATCGCAATGAAGTTCGATCGATAGCGCGATTCCCAGATTAATCGTGCGGAATTCCGCAGCGAGCGCGTGATTTTCTGAGTGTCGAGGGCGCGGCGTCTGAACACATTGCGAGGATTCCCGCGCGAGAGCGCGATTTTTGTATAACGTTTGAGAACGTCCCCGCCCGAAGACGGCTCGGAGCCGTTCCCTGGAGTCGGTGACATCATCCCGATGTCTCAGGCCCGTGGCCATGAGCTTTTCGTCTCGGGTCCGCTCGTGGCGTGTCGTCGTTGTGGCTCCACTTTTGAGGGAGGGGGGACCTCCCAGCTTTTCCAGCAGTGCCAGCCCGACCTGTCGGAGAAGACCCCGTCAAACCGACATAAGCGTGACGTGTGTTTGATAGATTCCTGCACCCAGAAGTGCCCCGTCTGTCCATCCAAACCCCGCTTCCGATTCGGTTTTCGGACGACGCCGCCAGTGTGCTCGGTCTCATCCAATTATCTGCGTTCCCATGTTTTTTCGAGCGTTTCGCTCGGGCTTCCAGTCCAGTGCTGGCCGTGATGAGTCCCTCGACGCAGGTGCTTTGGGCCTCAAGCTCGTGGGCTCTCGGTCTCTGTCGCGACACGGAGCTGTGCTGCTCTCCTTTTTTCCTGATGCTCTCATCCGTCCGTCACCCGAACTCTGCGCGCTCTTCTATCTGGGTCCTTCCTCCTCCTCCTCCTCCTCCTCCTCCTCCTCCTCCTCCTCCATGCTCGTCCGCTCGGGCGGCCATGCTGGTGGGCGCTGTTGTCCGATGTCAGGATCGCCCTCTTGAAGGGCAGTGGATTTCATTCTCCCCGCAGTTGTCTTTCCTCCGGGTCGTCTCCTCGGGCCGTCTCCTCTCTTCGGGTCGTCTCCCCTCCTCCTCCGCCTCCTGCTCCTCCTCCTCCTCCTCCTCCTCTCCGGGCCAGCCTCCTCTCTTCGGGTCGTCTCTCTTTCCGCTCTTCCGCCCTTCTCTCGCCGGCCACTGCCGCCCCTCCTCCTTCGCCCTCCTCCATCCTTCCTCGCGCGAGGGCGCGGCGTGCTCGTGCAGTTCTTCGGCCTCGGGCGAGGAGTACACATGGCTCAATTTTAATGTTTCGAAGGTTCTTTGATGTTTTTGGGGGGGCCAGGATCGTTTCATTTCTGATTGTTCTATCCTGGGCCTCTTCCTGGCCACTAGGGGGCCAGGCACGATCAGAAACGAGCACAATCAGAAACGAGCACCATTAGAAATGGACGACGTGTAGTTTGGGGAAAACCGCCGCGGCGGCCAGGCGGCGGGTCGGCCGACCGTCGAAGCCCCATCCCATGCCTCCCTCCTCCTGCCTCCTCCCTCCTCCCTCCTTCTCCCCCCCCCTCCCCCCCCCCTCCTCCCTCCTCCCTCCCTCCTCCCTCCTCCTCCGCTCCCTCCCCTCCCTCCTCCCTCCTGCCTCCCCTCCCTCCTCCTCCCTCCTCCTCCTCCTCCCCCTCCCCCCCTCCTGCCTCCCTCCTCCCTCCTCCTCCTCCATCCTCCTCCCCCCTCCCTCCTGCCTCCTCCCTCCTCCCTCCCCCCCTCGATCCAGGGCCGGCCGCGCTGGCGCGGCCGTCGGCGCCTGGCGCCTCCCGCCGCAGGCTGGTCACGGAGGCGGGGCGCTCGCGCGCCGCCGCCGCCGCCGCGGGGACGTCGTCGTCGTTTGCTCCTCGGGCGGGGCTTGGCATCGCTCGGACGTGAGCATTTTTCCTTCGGCGAGGGCCATCGAGGAGAATCCTTGATCATTTGGCGAAAAAGCCACGCACGAAACCGAAAAAAACACAGGGAATGGACGTCCGAGCGATGGCCAGGGGCCCCTGATGAGAGGCCCATTTTGGAGCCGGGTGACCTCCACAGGCGGTGAAGAGAAGGGCCCTGAAGGGCCCCCTTTTTGGAGCCAGCACGGCTCCAAAGAAGGTCCCTCAAGGGCCCCTTCAGGGCTCTTTTCTGCACCCTCCGTGTAGGCCACCCCCCTCACCACCCGCCCGACCGCCGCGACGGGGAGGTCGTCGTCGCCGCCCCCATGATGAGAGCCGTCTGGTGTTCTGAGGTGGCCCAGTATTGGTTCCGGCCAGCAGGAAGGGTGGGCAGGTGCGAGCCCAGGATCCTCCTCCTCCTCCTCCTCCTCCTCCTCCTCCTCCTCCTCCTCCTCCTCCTCCTCCTCCTCCGGTGCGGTGACTTGCCTGTTCTGATCCCTGGGGGCCGCCGTCGGGCCCCAGGACCATCCACAGCGGGTCCCGGGCGCAAGGTTCGCAGCAGACGGACCCTTGGAGGGGTCCGGGGGCCGATCTGGAACGGAGTCGTCTCCCGTCCTGGCTGATTTTCAGGGGCTCCGCCCAGCTCAGACCCTCCGGCCGCCTCCAACGTGGGGATCTGCAGCGTGGCGAAGGCCTCGCGGCCAGCAGTTCCGACCCTTGAGGACGGCGACGGCGACGACGGCGACGGCGACGGTGACGGTGACGACGACGACGACGAAGACGACGACGACGACGACGACGAGAAGGCGAATATGTGAATTACATAGAAGAGCATCCCCCCGCCTCGCGCAGAGGAGCGATCAGAAAGAAGGGGCTTCCCTTCGACACGATCACGACTTTGCTCGATTCCCTTCTGGCTGGAACGCTTGAGGACGAGGGTCCAGGGAAGAGGGGGGAGCGACGGCGGCGGTGACGACGACGACCAAGACGACGACGAAGACGACGAAGATGACGACTCAAGCGGAGAAGTGTCAAGGAGGGGAGCGGCGACGACGACGAGGACGACGACGACGACTAGAAAGGGAGCGCCTCTCGCACATGCCAGCAGGGTCGGCGGATACTCCTTGCTGGCCTCCTGGAAGCTGTTCGTCGCCACGGCTGGATCCGCCTCGCAAGACGGGTCGGGACGGGACCCGGGAGGGGTCTCGGGAGCCAGTTTGAGTGGATCCGGGCCGGGCGGGGGAGCCGCGGTCGACGTCTCGATTGGCCCTGCCTCCCGGCTTCCTGCCTCCAGGTTTTCCCTCGTCCCTCCAGCCTTCCTCCCCCTCGTCTTCCCCTCGCCTCCCTCCTGAAGGGGGCCACATGCGAACCCTACCCCTACCCCCCTCAGAAATCGTGGGGGGTAGGGGTAGGGTTCGCATGTGGCCCCCTATCCTTCCACCTCCTCCTGGCTCACCCTTCGCCCATGCAGAAAACATGGCCCCGAGGGGAGCGGGTCCCCAGAGGCCGTCCCTAGGGCCAGCTCTTCGGGCCCGGAAGGCAGGAGAGGCCTGCAGGACCCCTTGCCCCAGTTGCCCGCTTGCTTCATGCAGATCCTCCTCCTGATCCTCCCTCCTCCTCCTCCTCCTCCTCCTCCTCCTCCTCCTCCTCCTCCCTCCTCCCCTCCTCCTCCTCTCCTCCCCCTCCTCCTCCCTCCTTCTCCTGATCCTCCCTCCGCCTTCTCCTCCTGCCGCCGCCGCGGGGAGGACGGCAGCGCTCTCTCCGCCACGGGCGTAGGCACCGAGGCTCGAGGGCCTGCCTCTGCGTGATGCTCGCGGGCACGCTCCGGGCCCCCCGTCGAGGCCCAGACGTCGAGGGCAGAGGAGCTCTTCCCTGGCTCGGCGCCCGGGGGCCGCCGGGGGCCTCCCGAGGCATCCATCGACTAGACGTAAGAGTGACCCTTCGCCGGAGTGACCTTTGGTGCGCGCTCACGGGGGTTCCCCCGTCACCGCGCTCGTTGCGATGTTCGCGTCTTGCGCGCCTGCGTTCGGCCTCCTCGCGCCCCCCAAGAAGCCGCGCACCAGAGGTCACTCTTGCCCAGGGTCGCTCTTACGTGCAGCCGAATCCAGAGGGCCAGGGGCCCCTGGAGAAGTCTGGGGAGCCCGCGAGGCCGGCGGGGACCGTCGCCCGTCGTCGCCGCAGGTCGGAGTTCGAGGGCTCGGGATCGAATCTCGGTCGGCGGCGAGCGAGGGGTGTAAGCGAGAGGGTGGAGGCCTTGCCAGAAGGCGGCTGGGCTCCTCAGAGGCCCCCCTGACCTCCCGAGGAGTGCTCTGTGTCTTCGGGGGGGCTTCGAAAGAACCTGTCAGGAGACCAGAGGCCTTTCCGAGCCTTCTGGCCAGGCCCGCTCTCTCTCGCTTCCTCCCCCCATCGGGTATAGCCAGGACCCCGGGTAAGGGGACCCGGTCAGTGGTAGGGCCCCGGAGCCCCTAAAATTGGCCAGAAGCACTAAACCAGGTCTGCCGCAGCTGGTGTTTTTTCGGGCGACGGCAGTTCCGGTTAGTGGAACGGGGCGGGGGGGCGTCCCCCAGTATTCATCACCAAACCAGGTTCCATTAATCCCAGTTCTGCCAACGCCCGACCCCAGGCGCGCCGCTGGAACCGAGGTTGCTACTTTTTCGGCGTCTCGCAGCGCCCCGTGGGCGCCCGCTGGCGTGCCATGGCGCTCCAGGTCGACTCCCCTGCGGCATCGGCGGCGCGAGGGCACGGGCGGGGGCAGGGGGGGAGGGCGGAGCGCAGCGGGAGGAGGGCGAGGAGGGAGGAGGCTGCAGGGGGAGGAGGATCTCTGCCTCGCAGCCTCCGCGCGCCAGGGGCGCCGAACGGAGGAGGACGAGGCGGCGGATATCCAGCCGCCTGCGGCGAGTTCCGCGGCCGTGCCAGCACAGCTGTCTGCGCGGCGACGCGCTGAAGGCTGTGCCGTGTGGCGCCTCGCGTCCCTATACAGCGGGGGGGGGGCTTTTAAGATGCCCGCCCATAGGCCGTCTCGAGGCGGTCGTGGGCTCCTGCAGGGCCGTCTTGCGGTCATTTTGGGGGACTCTTGGGCCATCTTGGGGCCGTCTTGGGCCCCTCTCGGCAGTCTGAGGGTCCTTTGGGGCTCTCTTGGGGGCCTCTATGGGTCCTCTTGGGCAATCGTGGAGCTCTCTTCGGGTGTCCTGGACTGTCTTAGGGCCCTCTTTTGGCCGTTCCAAGCTGCCTGTGGGCCTTCAAGGGCCCTCAATATGGGCTCGGTCGGAGAATGCCCTGTCGGAGCTATCTCGAGCCGAGTGGTCCCGGAGCCGCAACATATTCAACACAAGGATGTCATCAATTTTTGAGTGGGCTTAGCCTTCCTGGAATGCGGCTTGGAATTCTCCCTGGTTTTTAGAAGTCTCTTGGCTCCTCTTCGGTGCCTCTTGGGACATTACTTGGGGCTGCTGGTTGGCTCTTGGGGCAGCCTTGGGACGTATTGGGGGCCTTCCTTGGAAGCCTTTGATAGCCTTGGGTTGCCCCACTGCAGTTGCGTGTCGCCCAGGAAAAACTCGGGAGGGGGGGTACGCACGCGCCTGAGCGGGGCGAGGGAAGGGGGGGGAAACGATGTGCAAAACACCTGCCAGGCAGCTCTTGATATTCTGCCACGCCGTCACGTGCCAGGGGGCACGGCGCCGGATTTAGGCAGGAGGACGGGGCAGGACGAGCAATGGGCAGGAGGAGGGGGCAGGAGAACGCGCCAGATGGAGTTAATGAGCAGGGAAAGCAGGCGGAGCAAGGGGGCAGCTGGAGTGGATAGGAGGAGGAAGAGGGTGCATGAGGAGTCATGGTTCGGCAGGACAAGGAGGAGGAGGAGGAGGAGGAGGAGGAGGAGGAGGAGGAGGAGGCGGAGGCGAAGCCATTCGGCCGAGGAGGGGCTGGGACCGTCGCGGCTTCGCTCGTCGTCGGTCGCCCCATCGGTCGTGGCTCGCGCGCCGCGCGGAACCATCAAAGAGAAAACAAAGAGGCGCCGCAGCCGTGGCGGTCCCCCCGACCGCCACGCTCAGGACAGAGGAAGAGGCCTGGCACCGCCGCGGCAGGACCCAAAGAGGACAAGACAGGCTGCTCATCAGGCTGGCGGCCGCCGCCAGCAGGCTGGAGCAGCACCACAGCGCCCAGCAACCCCAACGCCACCAGCAGCACGAGATGGCGCAGCAGGGGCGTTGGACAGGATGGCGGGACCAAGGGGTAGTCAAAGGAGGACAGGAGCAGGGTCCTCAATCGCTGGCCCAGGTCCCGCCGTCGGCCAGACAGACAGTATGACGGCACTGGGACCGCCAGTTGGAGCTCAACCGTGGCCATGGAAAAGACCATCACGAGGGAGGTCACCGGCGAAAACTCAACCATGGCAGGACCAATACAACAACCACAACCAGTACAACACATACCAGAAGAGAACTACAACCAGAAGAAGAAGAAGACCGGGTCCGCCTCGAGCAGGCGCCACGAACCGCATCCACAAGGCGCCACGATGCAGGACTATGTCTACACGAAAAAGCAGCAGGATATCATCGACGCGCTCATCCCGAGTACGGAAGTGAGGGCGGTCAACCACGAGGCCTTTTCCTACCACCCCTCACGAGTCGGAGCTCCGCCGCATGTGGAAGCATACCAAGGCGGTTCGGCTCGGAAGGCTCGCGGATCAGCTCGCTGGTGCCCGACAGGCAGGAGTGGATGCAGGACGACTTATCGACTAACTAGAAATTGCAAAATGCATGATCAACCTGACCATCGAGCCGAACGAAAGGATCAACATCTACGCAGAGGACCTCGACGTGGTTAATAAGAAGAGGAGAGCGATCGCTGAAAAAGTCAAAGAATGGAAAGACCAACTTGAGAACTCCGACGTGGATGCCGTCAACATCAAGGCTCTGGTTGCGGAAGCAAAAGGTCAGCGAGTCATTCATGAACGATTGGAAGCAGGGGCCGAAAGCGCAAGCTGCGAAGGAGATGGAAGAAAGCAGGGGCGACAGGAGGACTCGCGACAAGACGCCACATCCACGTCGGCAAGGTCAGAAAGTAGAACGTTGCCAGGCGGATGGCGGACAAGACGTAACAAGGTTGATCGAGGATTTGAACAAGCGTCTGGACATGCAGTAGGAAGAGTACGTCCAGCACCAGCGCCACCTCCAGTTCTTCCATGGCGAGCGCAATGCCAACATCCGAAAGGACGAGCTGCGTATTCAAAGATATACAGCAGAGCTCCCGGCCATAAAACATGAGTACAGGGAGCTGAAGACAGAGATGGCCGCGAGTAATCTCGACAGCACGAAGAGGGCCTTGACGCAACGTGATGTTCACCTCGAACGGAGGCTTCAGAACGAATGCGCGGAGAAGCTCGAGAAACAACGAGGATTATCCAGAGAGGAATACAAGCACCACAAGGAGACTGAATGACGACGCGCTTATCCACTTTGGGGAGATGCGGTCCAAGATTACCATGGAGCACGAACTGAAGGAGGAGGAAATCCAAGCAAGGCGCGAAGAACAGTTTCATATTCAACGAGCACTTCGTTTATCAGAAGCACGAACAGATGCAACACAAACAACAACAGTTACGTCGACAGATTGCCCTAGCAGAAGACTGCATCACCCACGAGAAGACCAACGTGCAAGACGCTCAAACCGCAGCGCGGGGGTCAATCCACAAGATGGCAGAATATGAACGCGCACTACAACATGGGAACGCGAGAGCATAACACCAGGTGCAAGAGTGGCTAAGCAACGAGCAGATTACGTGGCAGGTGATGGTACAACAGTCGCAGCAGTACGCCAACAACGAAGAGCACGCTGCGAAACGAAATCACGACGAATACGAAGAACAGTGCAGTGTTTACCATCAACGCGCGCAGCAATAAGCATTACAACACGAACAACGTCAACGCCATCAAGTACACGATCAGGATGCGGCTTCGTGCATAACTACATCCACAACGAGCCATCATGGCGGAGGAAAGTGCTCGACAAGATTGTCAGCGTCGGGTTCGCGAACAGGCGCTAATGAAGGGGCTGATCAAGAACGAGGAGATAGATGCGGAGACCATCGGCGAAATGAGCTCGAGATAGGCAGGGGCATGGAAGAAGAAACGCGAAGACAATACCTGGCAGACATCGAGCAGCAGAGAATCGACGAGGAGATGGAGAGCGCCCTGCGCTCCATCGTACCAGGCGAGTACACCCAGCGCGGTGCCGACACCAGCCCGCGCAGAGAGGAGTGGGAAAACAGCGTCGAGAGCGAGAGCACGTGCGCAAGGACTGCGAGCAGCGCTCCAGACAGTGGCCTAATCATTCTTCAGACTGGCGTTGCATTGCGACTTCCAGCAGAACGAACACCACCGCTCCACCATCAAATGACCCAGCAACAGCCGAAGCGCTCATCAATTTCTACACGCCACGCACAAGCGACAGTCAGAAGACACCCATGCCAAATCTCGACCACGACGACGACCTTCGAGACCACGTAGACGACGCCGAATCGATGCTGACCCCGACGCCACCAGCAAGCCCGACACCACCCGCCGAACAACCAACTCCAGACTACGACCCATGGGAATACAACTTCCCACCAGTACGGGCACTTTCAGCACCGCCCGAGATCAACGCGGACGATATCCATTCGGATCGACGACCCACCACTACCATATTGATAGACATCAGCAGAGACGAAGAGTGTGAGACACTAGCAACACCACGACGGATGACCATCGATAGTATCACGCCTACAATTCCCATCCAGCATGCTGGGCATCCACCCCGCTTCCGCCCCGGAACACCTGAGCTCAGTCAGCACCGCCTACAAGAGCCAAGTCAGCTCTCAGGAGTAGTAACTCGCGCGAACGACCAACGCGCATGGTGCGCATGCGCGGCGCAGGAGATGGATCCACATACCCAACAGACCGAATGCCAATCCCAATTGACAACCGCGATGGGTCTGACGACCCCACCTCGACAAAAAACTGATTAGGACTGAACCCGATGGTGCTGCTGGCCCAGACGGGGAGCCCGACTACTACACCAGCAAGCAATGGTCACATCCAAAAGATCACAGGGAACACGCCTGAGAGCAATCTCGACATTTGCACCGAGCCTGGGGGCCGACGCCGATCGACCCGCGCGGTGACAGCAGACAGCACGAAGGCCCCGCCACTTTCTCCACTTGGGAGAACTAGCAGTCGGGACGACGCTAAGTTGCACGCTTTGGGGGCAGCTCACCTCAATTCCCCGACGTCGACACTGCCAAATCGACCAACCAATAGCACATGCGCGAACAAGAAAGTCATAAAACGCACAGCGGATCTACACCCGACTTACGACAATAGGAAGAACCAAGGAACAGTGCGAAATCTACTTGCGCGGCCACCTCGACCACAGGCCAGGCCATGCGACTCCGAGGACGGAAACCTTTAGTCGAGCCGACCCCACAACAACCAACCAGAGAAATAATGCTGGATCTCGGAGCATCCCCGAGACCAGTACTGCAACGCCACTACTCCAGACTGCACGGTTCATTAGCTCAACGCCACCGAGGCGGGAGCCAGCGAGACGAGCGGTGCGCAGCCCACCGCGACCCGACCGACCTCCTGCACATAACACTCACAAGGCGATGAGCCACTTTGGCACAGAGACGCCGGATTGTTTGGGCATTTTCCAACAAGAAGGCATCTACATGCTCTTCATTGGAGTGAGTTCGACAATATTGACGAGACGTTCTTCAATGACCTGCGCAACGACGGGGCGACATGCAACGACCGCTATGACGAGGAGGGCAGCCACGACACGAAGATCGAGGTCCGACTCGGCGAAGCAAGCCTACGACAAACGCAACGCG